CCAATAATCTTCCAAGGAAGCACACTTGATAAGGCATCTACCTAACTTTGCTTTGGCAAGATTCTATCTTCCACATATGCAAGATTATATGCATTATGAATGCAAGTTATGAAGTCATATAAATACATCAAATTATAACCATGATTGATATAGGCTTTCTGAAAATATCTCTGAAATTCAATGTGTGTCTCCTCTTCATTTTCAGCAAATGATTATGACAATCCCTCAAGGTCTTCATCTACATAAACATATTGGGCATTCTATAATTCCTTTATTGCCTCAGAGTTTGAGCCAATTGAACTTCTCTCTTCTGGATCCTCTTCTACTAGATCCTCTTCTTTTGAATCCTCTTATATTAGGTCCTCTTTTTCTGAATCTAACACCAGATTGAACCTTGTTAATATAGGGTCCCTCCTAGTTTGTTCCTCTCTAGAAAAAATCAAGATCTAGTAGAAGAGGATCCAGAAGAGAGAAGTTCAATTGGCTCAAACTTTGAGACAATAAAGGAATTAGAGAACGCCCAATGTGTTTATGCAGATGAAAACCCTAAAGCACTGTTAGAATGGTTTGTTGAAAATGAAGAGGAGATAAAAATCAAATTTCAAGGATATTTTTAGAAAGTCTACATCGATTATGGTTATAGTTTGATTTGTTTCTATGAATACATAGCTTACACCCATAATGTGTATAATCTTGCATATGTGGAAGATGGAATCTTTCTAGAGCAAAGCTCGGTAGAAGCATTATTAGGTGTGCTTCCTTGGGAAGATTATTGGGAGACAGTAAAGGCCCAAATAAAGGCAAATAGTCCTCATATGTTTAACAGTGTGTGTAGAAGAGATAGAAGTAGGCTGAGAGGAAGTTCAAAGGTTCTAACTAAATAGAATCATTAGTATTTTGATATATGTAAATCTTGCTAGACTTAGTTATGATTGTAAATATTTATGCAATGACTTTTGATGTATATGTGAAGTACTAGAATGTTTGTATGATTTTTGAAAAGTAATATAAACAATGACTTCTTGCCTAATCATCTCACATTATTATAATTCTAATAATAGTAATACTACATAATTCAATAAGATTCTCTACGTTAATTAAATATAGAAGGAAAAATGGTTAGAACTCGAAGTGGTTGGAATAGTGGTCAAGAGTCACCTTGAGGTAATAACAATAAAAGGGATGCTCAAGAAATATCAACCAAGGGCTTGCTTGTTTCTTTTGTGGCTTTTCTTGAAAGTTTGATGTGTTATCTAAGTTATGATGTCCTTTCATGTATTAATTTTGAGTTGCATGTGAAGTTTGATCAATGAAAAACATTGCTGGATCTATTTGAACTAGATTAGTTTAGGCAAATAAGGTTAAATAGAGTATTAGTTTAGTTTTGTAATCTAGAATAATCTAAAATTTTTATATATTAAATAAGAGATCCTTAGCTTTAAACTGAGGCATAGATGGCTTAAATTAGTTTTGTAGAAATTGAGTAATAATTTTTCAAAGAAAGGCCAAGGAATTGAGAAGCTAGAAACAGAAAGATTGAAGTGATGGTGAGCTATTGAGGGCACGTCATACTAAGCTAAATAAATTATTTGGTAAATATTTTTATCACAAAGTACACTTATCCATATTTTCAACAAATTAAAAATCACACAAAATTGAGTTCTACAAAATTGATGGTGAATTTTAAAAATTTACTTGACATTTCTGGATAAGGAATTGAGGCCTAGCTGAGTGGTCTATTCATTTTTAATAAATTGTATTAAATAGGCTAAGTTACATGATTAATATTTTTCATTTCTCAAGGACACATTTAAATTTTCAAAGAACTCAAGAATATAATTTTTGGACTTACAAAACTTAAATTTTTAAAGTATAGCCCTGACAACTGGATTTTTGAAAAGCCCATAAAAGGTTTTAAATGACATGTCTTACTTTAAAACCTTTTTGGATTTTAGGAAAAAGCTTTGCTTTGAATTTTTTTTATTTTTAAATAAAATTGGTTTTATAATTTTTTTCAGAATCCAAATCCATTTTAAAAAAATACATAATTAATTCAATAACTTTAAAAATTATTTAATGGTAAAACTTGTCTTGGATTAAAGTTTGGAAGGTCCTTAATAAACTTCAGAATATTTTCTTAAAAATTAAACTTCAGAATATTTTCTTAAAAATTAGACAAGCATATTGTAGCTCAAACCTTGGGTTTTCAATATACTTACCATTTGGGCTCTTACTTAGGGCTATATTTTAAAAATTCATGTCTTGAGTTTTATAAATTTAAAAATTATATTATTGGACTCTTTGAAAATCTAAATGTATGCTTGATAAATGAAAAATATTTATCATGACATAACTTAGCTCATTTGATATAGTTTATTAAAATGAATGGATTACCTAGCTGGGCCTTAATTCCTTGTCCAGAAAATTTTGAAAATTCACCATTAATTTTGTAGAATTCATTTTTTTGTGGTTTCTGGGTTTTTGGAAATCTAGATAAGTTTAATTTTTGATAAAAAAAAATTTACCAACACTTTATTTAGCCCAATATGATGTAACCCTCACTCACTAACCGTCACTCCAATCTATATGTTTCCAGTTTTCAAATTCTTTAGCCTTTCTTTGAAAAACCATTACTCAATTTCTACATAACCAATTTAAGCAAAATCATTACTCAATTTCTACATAACCAATTTAAGCAATCTATGACTCATTTTAAAGCTTAGGATGTCTTGTTCAATATATAAAAATTTCAGATTTTTCTGTATTATGGAGAAAAAAGATATACTCCATTTAAGCTTACTTGCACAAACTAACACTGACCTTATTTTCAAATAGATCCAGCAATATTTTTTCATGGACCAAACTTCACATGCAAGTCAAAATTTATGCATGCAAGGACACCATAACTTAAATAACACATCAAACATTCCAGAAAACCCACAAAAGAAACATTCAAATCCCTGGCTGAAACCCATTCAGCAAGAACAACAACAAACCCTTAGCTTGCTCAAGCTTCCATCACCTCGTGTTTGTCCTTGTTGGAACTTGGATCTAGCATGTTAATTAATAATTTTGAAACCCACAAAAGAAACATTCAAATCCCTGGCTGAAACCCATTCAACAAGAACAACAACAAACCCTTAGCTTGCTCAAGCTTCCATCACCTTGTGTTTATCCTTGTTGGAACTTGGATCTAGCATGTTAATTAATAATTTTGGGAGTGAGATTGAAGCAATCTCAGTAGTAATTTATACCTTACAGATTATATAAAGAAAATTTACCCAAGCATATTAACATGTAATCATTAGAACAAACACCAAATAAATCAACTAGCAAGTAACAAACTTCGATCCTTTACTTGGAAGCTACATGCAACATTAATCTTTGAAGAGGATTTTCAGTTAGCATTTTCTAAAAAACAAAATGCAAAGAATTATCATAACAACATGCCAATATATTCAAGCAAATAATTATATGAAGAGCAAAGTATAAGCACTACTTTAAATTCTAGCTAGTACAAACTCTTATACTTGCTTGATGACCGAAGCCCCTCCTTCTTTCTTCTCTTCTCTGTCTCTTTCCCTCTCTATCTCGGTCTAGAGAGCTGGAAAGTGAGCTCTCCGCTCGCTGAACGAGGGCTCATATAGAGAAGGGAATGCAAGCCTTGTCATCCCTTGAACACTCCCAACGTGACACCTGTCCTCTACCAAGTCCTTCCTTTCCTTGCTGCCACATAACCCTTAGATTGGCTTCTCCTAATGAGTAATGACACATCAAAGCCCACTAAGTTCCCTCATTCAAGCAATCGGGGGTCTTAATCTTGGCATCACTCATTGGGTTATAATGGGCCTCAATTATGCACCATATGGTATAGGCCAAATGTTGTTACAAGAATGTTAAAAGTGTGATTTATATATTAATTTAAAGTTGTCACTTTATTGTTATATTATATTGTAGTTAGTAATTCTTATATATTGTAATTGATAAATTCTATTATATATTGTATATTATAATAATTTTAAAAGTAAATTTGAGACATTTAAAATTAAAATGCAAGCCTATTTAAAAGGTTTTATTTTTAAGTAGGCATTTACATAGGCTCATAGGCTAGGACAAGCTTTAAATAGGCTCAAGCCTAAGCCATAAAAAAAGTTTTATACAGGCTTCAAGCCAGGTTTAAGCTTTTAATTTTCTACACTGACTCAGACCAATTTAACCAAAGCTTAGTTTGACCTAATCTATTTCCACCCCTACTTTTACCTCCTCCCATTAAATTTTAAGATTGGGTTGTTTAAATTTGATTTCCAAGATTAAAATATTTATATATTTGATCACCTTGATAATATTAACTTGAACTCACTTATGTCTGTTTTAACATTTTTTTTTTGGGCAAGTCTTGGGAGAATTTGTTTTTCCCTGAATTTTAAATTTAAAAATTGAGGACAGGGGCACATAACAGGGTGGGAGCAGAAAGCAAAGACGAGTCACAGGCGCTATAATCCAGGAGATTGCCATCTACACAGGGACCTCCAACGGTGCAAGATCAGCTAAAAGAACAAAAGGCGGCTTCTTTTTTGTGTTGGCCTCCGCAAATATACAAAACCATCATCTCATATACAGAGCTACGTCTATGTAGACGAAGGGATGCGTTCACCAAATCTGCAGTTTCTCCATAATTATGCCCCATTTGGCATAAGGGAAATTTTTTTTATGGAAGTGCAAGTGGAAGTAGAAATAACAGTGAAATCCAAAAAATGTTTGATTATGGTTATGAAAGTGAGAGATTTTATTTGAGAGGGCTGGGATGTATAATATAAGTTACTTCCATGGCTTTTGAAAGGTTTTTGATTCCCTAGAAAATTGCATTCCCGTAAGCAAATTCTAGAATTCCACTTCCACTTGTCCAAGATTTATGAGCTTACAAAGCTAACTGGATATACAAAAAGATAAGTCCCAAAAAATTTTCCTGATCAACTTCTTCATAGATATCGAACCAGTCATTGAATGTCCAAGAGAACAAATTCTTTGTATTCTACCTAACATTTTCATTATTAGGTGTTATTCTGTGGGCCAAAAGTCACAAGAATTACAGACACCTCAGGAGATTTTTCCAGAGGGACGCTCAGCTATGAATCAAAATGCTTAGTAGTAATTCACCGCCATTTAACATCACAAACCATTCAACCCAAAAGTAGTATAAGATTATAACCAGTGTAATTTCCTCTTCACTAATAAATTCGGCTTACTCCCTTTCAAGGATTTCCATCATGTATCAAAACAACCATGAACCTATGGGAAAATCCCTACTTGACTCCTGTTACGTGTCAGATTGAATTGTATAAACACAGCTGTAAAGGTCTCTGCCTCTTCACAACAGCTCAAGATGATTAGTAATAGCATCTGGACAAGACTGGGCCTGTAGAAGCTCCAAACGGGTGAAAGGTGGAGCAAACTGCAATATGTAATCTTCATCTGAAAACCAGGCATGCGCATGTTCATTACTAACTTAAAAAAACCGAACAAATAGATTTGGGACTCAAAGTTGCATATATGTCATGTTCTTTTTTTATCTACTGGCTAAAAAAAAAAAAAACTGAACGGTTCAAAAAAACTCACTCTCCTTGACTGTTCCATAAAGCCAGCATAAAACTTCGTCTGCAAACGCCAAGCAGACTCCTCCCTGCCAACAAGTTTCGCTAACATCAGGAAAATGTCAAGTTAAACATTTACTAAGAGTCTGACTTTTATGATTTTATAGTTCCCTGTCTGAGGCAATTTAAAATGATCCTAAGATTCTGTGATGATTGAGCAGCCTTTATAAACAAATTTTTGTCCATATATAATCCTTTTATGTCTCAGAAACAAAAATGACTATGTGAACATCTTTGCTTTTGGCCGTGAAGTCTGGAGCCAGCAGGAGAGAGAAGTGAGAGCTTCTAGTAATAGCAGATTCTAAGAAAGCAAAGATTAGCAACATGCACCTTTTAGCAGTTAAGAATTACCTGCCAGTAGTTCTTCATTTTTATTCTTTGAGTGATTTCTTTGGTTCTTAGTCTTTCTGTCCGAACAAGACGACCAGAATCATCTCTGCATTGCAACCAAAATATTTTTATGATAAACATAGAGTCAAACTGTCAGTAGCAAGCTTTCACATTTGCAATGGATGCTTGATGGAGAATGTCTCATCTGATGCAATTGTTGCCATGCATTTCAAGCTATAATAAGCTCCCATTAATTATATGAAAGCTTGTGCAAGAACAAATAAATTCTAATGGTACAATGATCGCAATTACCTAAATCCTATGACAATATATGGAACTCCCGCCAAAAATGACTGAATCTGCAACCATCAAGAATAGACGTCTTGTTAAAGAATAAATTCAATGAACTCATAATTTTTTTTAAAAAGACCAACTGATCTCATGGTAGAATCATCAAGACGACGGCCAAAAAGGACAGAAAATGCTAAAACAAATATAAGCTAATCTTCAAAATATAAAGCTCAATTCTTTAACAATAAACTGAACAAACATCTAACTCAAGAAAGACACAATTGAAAAAGATACAATAAAAATGCTTGAGCAGAAAGTATATAAATTCATAGAATAAGCTTTACCCAAAACTTAAGCAGTTTTTCTCTCTCATGTTTTTCCTCAGTATGATAGTCCAACTGCGTCATTGAAGATGACATGTTAAGAGCCTACATCATGACTATAACAAGAAACCAGAAGCAATGGGATAGAAGTAACAGAAAAGTAAGATGCAAAGAAGCTGAGACTCTGTCAACCTCACGACTTGTTTTTAGTTCAACATAAAATCTCCTTCCATCATCAGTTGAGTCACAGCAATCCATCTCAGCACCCATCAAGATGCGGTGAGCCCCTAATTTTGTTTTGATCACAGAACAATATTCAACATTGGCGTCAACATGATGTATCCCCTCTCCATCAGACCTTCTAGGATCTTCAGTCGCAAGACTCTCAAAACAATATCCCCAATAACATCTGATTCCAAAACATACTCATTATAAAGCTTAACCAATCAAAATTTAGAGAAGGAAAGGAAGCACTGAAGGCAACCAATTTCAATTAGGCCATTTATCTCCCAACTATGATGAACAAAGCAAAACTTCACTTTTCCCCCCCTTATCTTAGAAATCACATCACTTGGCTACAATTTAATTGATTTAATGTCAATACTTTCATCTATCTACCAACTTAAGTTTGCATGTAGGTCTCAATGTGATGCAAGGCAAAAAGGCATTAGTAATCCAACCATAAGTAGAGGGGTGAATATCATCCAATTGATGCACGTATTTCTCACTAGTTCATTCTCAATGGTTGTCCTCAGCAAGATCTTTCTCCTTTCCAGCCCCTACCCCACCCCCTCGGTTTTTGTTTCTCTCATAGGGGAAGAACTAGTCCAGCATTGCAAATATTTGGGAATCTTTCATCCCCCATCGCCCAGCACTAATTTTCTCCTTTTGGGTTCAATCCCTTACTTTGCTGATAGTTCCAATGCAGCTCTCTTGATTTCTCTAAGTATCCAGAATAATAATAGGATATGCTAGCATAGTACCTCCGGCGATCCAAATCACTCTGTGGTCTTTCTGGTAGCTTATGCACATCAAGATAAACAACTCCCTTCCTTTTATGCACCCCCATTTCCCAAGGCTCGTGTCGGATATAAGCGGTGGCCATTATCTGCAAAAGAGGTCATTAAAAAGATATTAGTGTAATGTTTTTTAATCAAGAAATGCTCCTTAGGAACACTTTGACAAATTTAACAGCGCAAAGGTAATAACTAATTCACTGGAAGAATACAAATAGACTCATATGAAGAGATCCTGGCTCCGTTTACCTTGTTAAGATTGTTACGAAATGTCTGTAAAGGATCAAAAAGAAGGCTAATGTAAGAACCTTCAAAACTTACATAGTAAAAGCATTACATGTTTACAAAAAACTTAAATCATCATGTTCTTTATACCACAAAATGAATGTTTTGGAGGGGAATGTTTTTGTCTCTAATGCAAGCAAGAAGATCACCAAAGCCCTCTGAGCCTAAGTCTGCATCACGGTTAACCAGAAAAGAATAAAGGTAACATCAATTCTGATATACATATTCCCCCAAATGCCAGTATAAAATAAAACTTATACAACTATAAAACAGTAGTTGAAAGTTATAAACAACATACTACCTTTTTTAGCAATAAATGTATCATAACCCTCATTCAAATCAGCTCCAACATCTTCAGTGATAAGGCGCTTAAAAAGCCTCTAAATAAATGAAATAGAAAGCACTTAAATATGCAAGATATCAGCAAGGTTATCACACACATGAGAGAGAGAAAATGAATGCAGAGAAAATCAAATATGAGATGAGCTGTACATAGCTTACCAAGTTGCGATCATCAAAGTAGACCTCTCCACCTTCTACACGACTATAGCAGGCAACTTCACATGGCTACCAGATAAAACAAGAAAACATATGGTCAGATCACATATGCTGACAAGTTACTTCGCACTCACGCATAAGTGCATTTCACCAACAATATAAACATATCCAAAATTACACATGCGTGATAGGGAAACACAAACAACTTATCACTCTTTAAATTATTAAAGTTCTATGCGATCATTTGTTTCACATACAGGCAAGATATCATATACCAATACCTTAAATCTGGGATGACATGATCCCAAACATCCAGCGAGAGACATAACATTCCAGCTTTAAAAAATAAATTCTTTAGCACTGTTAGCAACTTGACCATTAAAACGCTTGGTACATTGGCAAATAAAGTAGAGAAATTGAAATGTCCCTACCTCCTGAATAGCAATACACTTTCTTGACAAAGTCTCTTCACTCTTGGAAAGCTTCAGCTCAGCGACAAATCTTTCATCATGGCGGCCATTTGAAAACCGGTTTCCATAACCAAAATTTTGCCTCTGAGGATAAGGTCCAGGACGAGGAAGGAGGCCTGCTCCTCTATCATTTTGCCAACGACCACGGCCAAAACCCCCCCTACCCTGATTATTTGTATTGCGGACAGCAGGCAATACTGCAAGAGAAACTTTCATCTTTCCACAAAACAAATTGAGAAAGAAAATCAACAAAATTATTTACTTTAAGTTCATCATTTTCAGCTGCTTCAGAAGCTCAAGTGCATTATTTCCTTGATTGTCTTGTAGACACAGAGATGCAATATGCTTACAAAAGAAATGAAAAACTATCTAATTGAAAATAAAGATTTTGAACCTTCCTACAGATTCACAAAGGAAAAGCCATTAACCCTAAGCATATGCACAAAATTTACTGAAGCTGTACAAAAAGAACAGCAGGTGTATGGCAAATAAATATGAGGCGGCACCCAAAGTGAGTTAAGTATCATAACAATTTGGCGAGCATGTAGTATAATGGGTCAAGTTAGAAAACCGTCAACTCAATGCAACATGAGGAATTTACCAGGAATCGAGTATGGACTTTGAGCAGAAGTTTTACAATAATCTTCATTATCAGAGCCAAACAGGTCTTTTTCGTCAAGGTCATAATAGGCCCTACTGCTATGCTCAACCTCCTCGACATTCTCTTCATCTTCATCTGCAGCACTGCTGGCGCTTCCGCTGACACTGGAGGAATCATCGCCATCACTGGCGTTGGATGAAGAAGCAGATGATGAAGAAGACGAAGAAGAAGAAGCAGAGGAGGATGAAGATGGGGAAGAGGAGTGAGTCCCATCTTGGTCGACACGGGCCTCTTTGTCGGGCTCCTGATCGTAATGTTCGCCGAATATATCTAGGTCCTGCTCTGAGAAATCCATTCCGATGATCCTCGTTTATTATTTTTCGCGGGCGCCTAGGGCTTTGTGTTTTATAGTCGCGCAAGCAAGCGGGCAGGACGGGCTGGCCTACTCGGTTGTGGGTAGAGTTGAAAAATGAATGAGCCGATTATATGAACTCGACTTTTACAAGCTTGATCTTTAAATTCAATTTTTTTAAAATATTTTATTTTTTAAAATTTAACCTTTATATAAAGAACTCAGGGTCAAGACTCATAAATTTTTATTATTATTTTTTTATTTTTTAGAATTTTTAAAAATTAAATTTTTTAATTATAATATTTAATATATTTTTTAAAACATAAATAACAATGTTTAAAAATTTAAAATAAATAATAGAAATTCTAATTTTAAAATATAAACATATATTTTAAAGTTTAAATTTAATTTAAAAATTAAAAATAATTTTTTAAGGGAAAAACAAAAATGAGTCGTCCAAGTTCATTTTTTCAGGTCTATCAAGGCCAGACTTAAAAGCCTGATTTTTTTAAAAAATATTATTTTTTTTAAACTCAAATTCTTATAAAAATAGGCTTAAATAGGCAGCTCTATAAACCTGACCTTTATTTTTAACTCTAAATGTAGGCGGCTAATGCAAACCTGTTTTGTACTAACACTTCCTTAAAAAAAATTAATCAACAAGGACATTTTTTGAAGTATAAATTGTTTTACATTTCTAAATTCTAATAAAAATTAACAATAAAATCTCTCTAAATGATATAAATAATAATTTAATTTTTTAAAATGCTATAATTCTAATGAAATCTCTAAAGACTTTTGTATCAATAAATTTTAAAGTGAAAAGACTATTTTATTCTTACTGAAAATGACAAGCCCTAATCACAACTTTTATTTAAAGAATCATAACTTTTGTTTTACAAATCATAATAGTTAAACAAGAAATTATAATTTGTCAATTGTAATTTTTGATATTAAAAAAATAAATCTCAATTACAACTTTTGCTTTAGGAATAACAACTTTTATTTTGTAAATCACTAGAGTTGAATAAGAAATCATAATTTTTTAAGTATAATTTCTATTATTGAAAAATAAGTTCTCAAAATAACAAATAATATTTACAAATTTTATTTAAAAAATCATAACTAGACCAAAGCAATTCATTTATGATTTTAGGCAAAATTTCAATAAAAACTATCATAAAAGCAATTGATCAAAACACAAGAATCAAATATGCCGATACATAAAAGGGAAATACTCAGAAAAAATCCAAACAACTTCAATTACCAACCAACAATCAAGGTAGAAAAAGTAAGTACAAATTCTCTGAAGCGAGTGGGAGATTTTATTTGATGAACAGGGAAGATGTCGAGGATCAGTTAGGCTTGAGGTATGTACTATCCCCTCTGAACTTTGCAATTTGGCTTCATATCATAGTCTAGACATGGCGTTGAACGAAAAATGTGACTATTATCCAAGAAATAGATAATAAACTTTTCAAACACATGCAATGAAGCATTCACATTGATAATAGATAGGGAGTAGTGTTGTGTTGTCAAAAGGACTAGACACCGACTGGACACAAACAAAATCTAGAAAATGAATTAAATTATTTGAGTAGTAAGCAACAAGAATGGGTAACCTAAACACACGAAGTTATGGAAGATTCTCTTCCTCCTAGTCAGGACATGATGATGGTCCAAGCAGAGAAGCCCTACGATGGTGAGAGGAAACTCTGCGATTTCTTCCTCTGCTCTAATGATAGGGATGGACTAAAATTGGAGCATTTAATAGACGGTGCATATTAGCCTTTATCATTAATCCAACACGGCAATTTTTGGAGTTATTAGGTCAAGCATAAATTCACGATTAGTTTGATGCACAGGGATGCGAAGAAATTAGACCATGGAGAGGATCCAAACCCTGAGCATGAGTGAGGGTGAGGGTTTTCTTTTTCCACCGAAAGCAATGATGAGTCACATTTATTATAAATTTTTTATTATTGATAAAAAATCATGTTATATTTGCCTAAATTACACAATTATTATTAATTATGAAAAATTGCCTAAATAAAGATTTTGTGCATTAGGAGGATTTTAGTCATAAAATTAAACTTTTGAAAAAATGTTTGAAAAAATTTGTCAAGATACATTTTTAGTATAGAAGAACAACGGTCTAATTATATTTCTCAAATGCATTTTAGATTAAGAGTAATTAATTTTATAAGTTAACTATTTTGAAAAGTTAGTTTCAAGTTGATTTACCTTTTTATACTTGGGCTAGGTCATTTTTATAAGGTTAAGGTTCAATTTTACTCCTGTACCTATTTTTTAGGAGTATTAGGCACCCTATACTCTTAAGTGGGGTAATTTTACCCCAGCACTATTTTTTGAAGAAGCAAAAATACCCTTCAATTAATCAACCATTAATTTTTTTTATTTTTTGTTGACGTGGCATGTGCTTGGAGCCCATGCATAATGACATATAAGATATGGTATATTTTTTGGTGCTAATTTGCCCCTGATCTCTTTTTTTAGGAGCGTTAAGCACCCTTAAGTTTTTTTCTTAAAGCATTGGATATCCTGAAGTTTTATTAAAATAAAATTGAATAAATATTATTAAAATATTAAGTATTTTAATATTTAATAATTTAAATATTATTATTTAAATTATCATACCACCCAATTTAATATTTTTTAAATATTATTTTTGCTAACATTTTATAAATTTATAGATCATTTATTATTTTTTATATATTAATTTTTGATCTTTTCTTCGATACAGTACCTAAATTGTTACATCTTTTATATGTGTCAAAACTTATTTATATTTTTAATATTGGTTAAGTTCCTTAATTTTTTTGGTCAACTAATGATCTTCCTCCAAAATATTGCATTACCCAAATTTAATACTTTTTTTACATTGCAGTGTTAATGGTAAAATCATAAACATGATAAATGAAGACCAAAAATATTTATTTGAAAGATATCACTTATTTTATTAATATGCTACAAAAAAAAGTTACTTAACAAGAGAAAAATGGAGAGATGAGAAAAAAAAATCCCTTCATTAACTTGAAGGTTCATTTGCTTCATTTTTAATACAAAATTACAAAATATAAAAAATATTAAAATATTAAATTGAGTGGTGTAATGTTTTAAATAATAATATTTAAATTATTAAATATTAAAATACTTAATATTTTAACAATATTTATTAAATTTTACTTTAACAAGACTTCAGGGTGTCCAGTGCTCCTAGAAAAAGATTTTAGGATGCTCAACGCTATTGGAAAAAGAGTTTAGAAGTAAATTAGCACCAAATGATATGGTCAGAATCTGACTTGTCACTATGCGTGGGCTCCACGTATATGCCACATTAGCATATAATGGCAGAGTTAACAGTTCATTAATGGAGGGGGTTTTCTGCTCCTCAAAAAAATAGTTCAAAGATAAAATTGTCCCATTTAAAAGTAAAGGATGCCCAGTACTTCTAAAAAAAAATAAGTGCAAAGGCAAATTTGAACATTAACTCCATTTTTCTGCATGTGTGGGGCTTACAACTCTAGGGCTCTAGGTCACACCTCAGAACCCCTTTTATGATGTCATAATTATTTTTTATTATGTAATTGCATTGTGCCACATATTTGGAATTGGTTTTAATTGGAAATACAATTATTATATATATATACTTTGAATTTTGATCCTGTGCGTCACATTTATTTGTATAAGGTTACACATCTTGGATTTGACATATGAGAACCATTGGATTGGAATACTAAATGAGTTAAGAGGCAAAATACTTGAGTTTTGGGGTGGAAGTACAAGCCTTACATAGTCTTGCACACATTGTACTACATTTTGATTTCACTCACTCACTCTCTCTCTCTAAATTTTCCATTAACTTTAGCTTTCTTTAATCTAAATTTTCAAACTTAGGAACTTTGAATGTTCTTCAATTTAGCCTAGTGAAAATAAAATTTATCTTAACTCATTTTTCACCCAAACCCTAAACACTTATATTAGGCCAATTCACTTTAAACTTGAATCAAACTACCCTAATTTCATTAAACCATTCATTCTATTCCTATCCAAAAAATCATGCCATCCTCCTCCATTTTCTCTCAAATGTTCTTCATGTTCTTCATCTTTATTTCAGCTTCTCTTATTCGTATCTCATGATCCAACCATCAAACTAACTCCACAATTCTTCTTCTCTCACCTCACATTTCAAACCCTAGTACTTTGTTTCTTGGTTTGAATTCAAAATTTTCAAGGTGTTCATGGAGTATGGTTCGGCCAAGATTAAGAATTGTGTTCAAGTGAATTTCAAGAGGACTAGAGGCTAAATCTATAAGGAGTATTAGAAGGAAAGGATGTTAGAGGAGTCTTAAAGTGTTTCAAGGAAGGTGAAGGGTCACGTCACTCTCTAATCAAACCTATGTTGATGTAATCTTATTTTTAAAATTAAAAGCATTGTTATATTTTATTTTTATTGACTAAAATTGGTATTTGACTTGTTGGTTTGTTGTTTTTCCACTTGATTTTCCTTTATGTAGTTGCTGAAAATTTTCTCTAATACATTGTAATTCATATAAATATATGTTTTAAGTGTGTTGAATGTGTCTTATATTGGCTAAGCATCAATATGCTTGGTTGTTATTTGATAAAATATCTTGTGTACAAAATTGTGCTTTGGACCTGTCCTAGGCCAGCTACCTAAGGGGAATCTTAAGAAAAATTTTGATCACTTTACACCTAATTAAGGAATTGATTAAGGACTTGTACAAAATTGTGCAAAGACTTAATCAATTGAATTAGTTAGGAAGGCATACTTATAGAAAATTGGGTAAGGGGTTTAATTCAATCAAGAGAGTGAAAGTTAATCTAAGCCTAATTAAAAAGAATAAATAAGAAATATAGTATTCCATAACTCCTAAGACTCCACTTTAAAAAGGTTTAAGTACACCCATTTTTATTTTACTAGTTGATTAGGTTTTTAATTAAATCTATCCATTTAGTTTTATTAGTTAAAATCAATCAACTTTGGGTTAATTTAGTTCATTAGTTTAGCTTTAATTAACCTTA